GGGAGGGGGGACTTTAGCTTTTCTTCCACTTCTGATGCCTACGACCATTACGTGCACCTGGCACAGCAGAAACAGCCTGTGATATGCTACTGACACTATGCTCTGACCTCTTCCGGCATGCAGGAGAAAGGACGTCGCTTGGAATGAAGGTATCGCATTATAGGGACGCGTGGACCACGAGGTAAGTGATTACCAGTTTTTTACATGAAGCTCGGTCGTTTTTTCGGCAAATGCTCGCTTTGTGAAAAAGTGACAAACGCAAATTTTTTGAAAAAATAATTCCCAGTTCAATAAAAAGTGGAAATATTGCTCGAGCTGTCGTTTGTCAGAAAATCCATGTATGCAAATTAACTAATGTTCATTTACATATTTAGTGGGGGCGGTCGTTCGCTGCAAAATGCACTCGTTTCTGATTTTTCGGTAAAAGTTGAGTATTTCTCACGCCTCCCTGCAGGGGATTCTACCTCCAAGCAGAATTAAAACTGTGCTTGAGAGTAGAATATTCTAGCAATTATTCAGCCTCGCAGCTTATCCGGTAAGCGGAATATCCACTCCGCTACAAATATGCTCCAAGTCAAGGCGCAAGTGCAAATCGGTGCTCATTTTAGGTATACTATTTCCCATATGGGAGACCAACATCCTAACCAAATTTCAGCCACTGTTTTCGAGTTAGCATAGTACCAAGTCGCAAACTTTGATGTGGTCGTACACGCTGCACAAACATGCGCGGCAGCTGAATTTGAAATCTTTAGCTCGCACTTTCACAGGGAATATCCCTGCAAATTTTTTTTGGCTTTGTATCTTGCCTGGTTTGCGAAATCAACACCGAAATCTTTTCCCGCCAACGAAATCTGAATATTTTTTAGGGGGGCCCCTACGCGCGGTATAGGCGCGTGTGAGGGAAGTTCTTGAAACGGGAAGATGACACATGGGGTAGGAATATATACCAAAAGTTTCAGGCTCGCAGCTTTCCTGGTTGCTGAGATGAAAGTGGGTGACAAAATGCATTCGCTTCCGAACT